GCCAGGGATTTCGGAAAGTTAAACACGACTTAGTGTTATTTATACTATTTACATTAGAAATAAAAAATTTCACATGTTTAGTATTTTTATCCATTTTATTTTTTCTTAACAATATCGTTTATAACATGTCATTACTGTCATTCGACATGGCTTATAAATAACACCAAGTCGTGTTTAACTTTTCGAAATCCCTGGCACACCTCGCTAGTTGTTTGCTATGTTTGCATTGCTATGCGATAGAGGGCTTTCAAAAGCATTGCCCTTATGTTTCGGTTCACAGTTGTTGACAATGCATTATAAATATCAAAAACCACATTGTACGTTTGGACCGATATCTCCCGATTTGTCATTTTTGTGAGATCAACGATTAGACACGGAATTAGTTTAATGATTAAGGTAAGATTTGAGCTCAAGTTTATCGAGTTAAACACAATAAATCATAGGTATAGACTAAGGCAACTAAATGTTGAATTTTGCCGGTTTCAGTCTGTCTTACTCCTATTGATAGACTCCTGTATATATATATGTGTGTTTGTGTGTGTGTGTGTGCGTGCGTGCGTGCATGCGTGCGCGTGAGCGTGTGCGTATGTGTCTCTGTGTGTGAGAGTGCGTGCGTGCGTGCGTGCGTGCGTGTGTGCGTGCATGTGTGTGTGTGTGTATTTGTTGTATATATGTACATGTGACATGTTGCGCGCATCCCAACCCATCGCTGTGTATTTTTAAACGTGTTTGTATATAATATCAAAGTGAAACGTTTTGCCCTCTAAAAGGTCAGCTAGTGATCCCCAAGCCCGCTGCTGCGTGTGTGTGTATATGATATGCACCGCGTGGTTATATTATATATGTAGCAGTTAGAAAATCAATATCGAAGAAGCCTGTGTAATCGTCTCTCACATAGTATCGTAAACAACTCCTCTACGACCCGAGGAGTTGACCGCAGAGAAGACTAGGCGAATTAAAAAACAAATTAGTAGGTCGTGTCACTGTGGAGTGCATATCTGCGGTGTCTGGCAGGCGTGGTGCATCCTCGGGGCGGCTTATGTTGGTCGGGTGGTCGGCTCGCTCTCTCGCACAGTGTCAGGTTTTCTAGTTTCTACTTTCGTTGGCTTTGCTGCTCTGTAGGCGTGCTCTGGCCATGCAAGCACGTAGAAGTAGTCTTTCGCTAGTAGAAGGCAAATTGACATCCGGCCTTTGTGGACTCTCGCCTCTCAGAGTGACTTCGCAGTCTTGTCATGAAGATATATGAGGGCAGAGGGCCACGAAGGTCGGTTGTACTCAGATAGTGTAAAAGTAGAGGCAGGGCTACAGGACTTCAAATATGAGTAGGTTACATTTCGTAGAGTCAGGCTACGTGGTATGGAAGCTGGCTACATGTTATAGAAGCATGCTGCATGTTATAGAAGCATGCTATACATGTTATAGAAGCAGGCTACATGTTATAGAAGCATGCTGCATGTTATAGAAGCATGCTATACATGTTATAGAAGCAGGCTACATGGTATAGAAGCAGGCTACATGTTATAGAAGCATGCTACATGTTATAGAAGCTGGCTACATGTTATAGAAGCAGGCTACATGTTATAGAAGCATGCTACACTGTTAGAGAAGCATGTGGCATGTTATAAGAAGCGGGTACATGTTATACGAAAGCAGCTAAACATGTATAAGAACATGCTGCTAATCTTATTAGAAAGCCAGCTGATACATGTTATTAGAAGCAGCTACATGGTATAGAACATGCTACATGTTATAGTGAAGCATGACGCATGTTATAACAGGATACTATACTGTGTATAGAAGCAGCATACAGTGTTATAGAAGCATCTGCATGTTATAAGAAGCAAACTATAAAAACATTTATAAGAAGCAGGCGACATTGTGATCAAAAAGAAGCAGGCTGCATTGCTATAGAAGCCATACTAGTCATGTTATTAGTCGAAGCAGCTACGGTAAGAGCATGGCTGCATGTTATAGAAGGCATGCTATACCGCATGTTAAGAAGCAGGCTCCATGCAGCGGGTTCTCCTACGTTGCCAGCAGCGGGGCGCGCGCCCCCGTTTGGGAAAACTCCCCCCTGATGAATCGTTGCGTCCCCGTTGAATTACCATCCGTCCCGATTCTAAATCCACGCCACAAATAAAAGTATGCCAGCGCGGGAAGACGATCGCCAAGAAGCGTTCCGAGCCGGTGAGGACCGGTCGACGATCGTGTAGGTTTGTCAGGCCGGTACGTTGACGCATCTGGCATCTGCATGACATAAGCATCAATACGCCCTGACATGCATAGCACAGATTTACTGTCCAGCTAACTGTACACTCGGGGCGGACTCTGCTATCTTATATATAGCAAGAACTCGGCCAAATACGGTCTATGGTGTAGTGGCAGATTTGCGCTATGAAAGTTAAGCGAGACGGTTAAAAATTAACACACCCCATGGACCGACCTATTTCCCCGGCTTCGCCGGCCTCGCCCTACCGCCCCCTCCCCTGGTTGAATTCATCCTGGAGAGACCCTGAGCATGTATAGAGATATGCTTAAGCATGCAGTGATTCGCACAGTCCCTTGGGATATGGCCTTCGATTTGAGGGAGTCATGAAAAGTACTTTAATTAGTAAATGTTTATTTTGTCTTGAAAAGTCAAAGAGTCAATTTACATGAAATTTCTTGAATTTAGAAGAATCCTTCGCTTGTAATATATAAGCAAAATTGTACCATCATAATGTGCAAACCGCAATAAACAATTGCGTCAAATGAGCTAAAGCATAACTTATAGACAGTAAATGATGGGACAAATAGGAGATAAAATAAGTTAGTAAATCAAAGGTTTGTTGTAGAAGTTGACAGGGTGGTTTTAGAAGGGTTTTTCTTCCAATTGAATCCGACAAGATAAAGTTCAGAGGGTGACATGCAGTGATAGAGAATGGGGTATATAATTAATCACGTATGTTTTTGTTCTGTGTTGAAATCCGCGGATAAAATGGTCTGATAAAATTCTTGAATTTCCCGGATAAAGTCCTTGGGAAAAAAATAGCAGTCCTCCTGTATGAACCATGTAGCAGGTTATAGAAACGGACACTGTTATAGAAGCAGTACTGCATGTTATAGATAAACGGCTATCAATCCCTACATGTATAGAAGCATGCTACATTGTTATAGGATGCCATGCGGGACAGAAGTAGAATGGCAGCTATCATGTTCTAGGGAGCATGGGCGCTATTGTTATACGAAGCACTACTTTTTATGAGAAGCAATCTGATGTTTATAGAGGCACTAGCCTACATGTATCGGGTAAGCTACGTGCTATAGAAATATGATTGTTGTATAGGGGCAGGCTCCATTGAACAGCCAATCACGTTGCCGTCTACGTGCATAATTCTTAGTAATGAAAGCCAACTAGCTCTTTGAACACATACTTATATATATATGTATCTATTAGAAGTAATTATAATGTTAAGGGCTCAGTTTTCATACATGCCTAGGCGTCAGTCACACTTCAGGATTTTACTGCCGTCCCTTGAGTATGACCATTCGCGATTAAAATTGTCAAAGTCGGACAAAGATCCTGTGATTCGTGTGGAAATTCAAACTGTATTAAAATTCTGT